ATAAATGTAATGAACTCACTCATAAAATGAAAGAGGATCACAGAATGGATAAAAAGCAGAACCCAACAATATGTCATTTATAAGATAAACACTTATATATAAATATTTACAGAGTTAAAATAAGGTGCTGGAGCAGAATGTAATACAGAAAGGTGAACTCAAAAAAGCAGGTCTAGTAACCATGATCTCACATAAGGCAAAAGTAAAAATTAGCATAAAAGAGATAAATGGAGACTACATTGTAATGAATCAAAATCAATAATTAGTAGATAGACATGGAATGGGATAATATCTAAATACTTAAAGACAAAAATTAATTGAATTACAGAAAGAAATAGACAACAAAACTATAATAGTGAGGATCTCAATGTGTCAATATTTTTTAAAAATTCCTTTAATGTGGGGCAGCTAAGTGGCACAGTGGATAATAGACCACCAGCTCTAGAGTCAGGAGGACCTCAGTTCAAATCCAGCCTCAGACACTTGATACTTACTAGTTGTGTGACCCTGGGCAAATCACTTAACCCCAACTGTTTCACCAAAAAAAATTCCTTTACTGACCACGAAGAAAAAAAAATCTGTTCAAAGATGCCTTGGAAAAGAGGATTAAAATTTTAATTGGAGACTAAATACCTTAATCCTACAAAATTTCTGGGTCAAAAAAAAAACGACATTAGAAACAAAAACAAAAAAAAAGCATTAGAAAATGTCGTCAAAGAAATTGACAATAATTAGATAGCATACAAAAACTTTTAAACGGTTCCTAGAAAACATTTATATTTCTAAATGTCTTTATTAACAAAAAAAAGAGGAACAAATCAATTCAACTGCAGATAAACTAGAAAAGCAAAGCATTTTTAAAAATTAAATTTGAAATTCTAAATAGCAAATAAGGGATTAATAAAACTGGAAGTAAAGAAATGAATTGATAAAACTAGAAGTTTAAAAAAAACTAAAATTAGTTAGCTAAGGATAATGAAAATGACATTGATGCTATCAAAATGAAAAAAAGAATTTACAATGATAAAAGATAAAATAAATTATTAAAAATTATTTTGCCTATTATATGAGAACAAATCTGAAAAATGGAATGAAATGGATGGATACTTAGAAAATATAAAATACCAGGTCCATAGAATGAGAAATAGACTTTTTAATTCAATTCAAGAAAAAAATCAAACAATCCATAAATTCCCTTAGAAAAAAGGAAGAACCAGATAGATTCATAAGTTAATTCCTTCGAACATTCAAAGAATAATTAATTCCAATATTACATAAAATGCAAAAATAAGGAGTTGTACAAAACACTATCTATGATACAAATAAGGTATTGATGCCTAAATCAGGGAGAAAGAAAATACAAAAAAAAAATACTATAGACCTAATTAACCTCAGTGCAAACAAAATAAAAGTACTAACATAGAGATAACAACGATATACCTGAAAGATTGTGTGTGTGTGTGTGTGTGTGTGTGTGTGTGTGGGTGTGGGTGTGTGTTTGGGTGGGGTATGTATTATGGTCAAGTTGTATTTATAAAAGTATTTCATATTTGGTTATATGTAGAAAACTATATTCATACTAGAAAATATTAATAACAATAATAAAAATCACATGTTTATATAATTGATATTGAAAAAGCTTTTTATGAAATTCAAAATGGTTTCTGTTAAAAACTCTAAAAAGCAAATAGGTTATCCTTTCCCTACTATGATAGATAGTCTTTATCTAAATCCAAGGCCCAATATTATATATCATGGAAAAAGACTAAAGACTTTTCTAATTGAAGTTATAATGTCCAGTATAACCACTATTATTTAATATAGTACTAGAAATACTTGCTATAGCTATAACACACATGCACAAAAGAAATTGAGAGAATAAGCATAGACATAGAGGAAACAAAGCTATTTATATAGATGAGCTGATTAGAGAACTAAGGCTTAGAGAGTCAACTAAAATTAATTGAAACAATTAAAATCTTTAGAAAAGGTGTAGGCCATAAAATACCCATATACGCACAAATCATTGGCCTTTCTATACAATGTCAACAAAACTCAGTAGAAAGACATGGAGAAATTTTATTCAAAATAACCAAGGATATAAAATTTGGGGAATATACTTCTCAAGACATATAAAGGATTTATATGAATACAACTACAAAACACAACAAAATGAAGAATGACCTAATCAATAGTAGAAAATTTAATTGCTCATGGTTAGAACATGCCAAAATAATAAAAATGAAAACTACCCAAATGAAAATTCAGTGCCATATCAACTAAACTACTTTACTTTAAAGAGCTTAAAAAATACGAAATTCATCTAGACTACCAAAATGTCAAGATTCTCAAGGGAAATAACAAAAAAAAGTAGAAAGGAAGGCACCCTAGCATCCCAGGTGTCAAACTACAAACTAATAATCATCAAAACTATATGGTATAGGATAAAATAGAAAAGTTGATCAGTAGAACCAATAGTTATACAACAGTGGGTACAAATGAACATAATGGCATAGTTTCTAATAAACACATCACCACTCCCTATGTGATAAAAACTTCTGAGAAAACTGGAAAGCATTCTAGCAGAAATTTGGTTTATTTCAACTCACCAAGATAATTTCCAAATAGGTATATAACTTAGGTCACCTTATAAACAGAGGAGAAAGAAAAAAAATATTTTTTGCAACTATGAATAGGGAAAGAGTCATTATCTAACCAGGGAAATAAAATGGACAATTTTGATTACAAAAAATTGAAAAGAGTTTTCATGTACAAGGCCGATTCAATTAAAATTAGAAAGAAAATAGATAACTAACAGAAAAATCTTTATGATATATATCTTACCAAGATTTTATAACCAAGCTATACAAGGAAGTAACTCAAATATATAAAAACACAAAACCTCTCCAATAGATAAATCATCAAAAGAGTTCTCGAAGGAAGAAATCTAAACTATCAATAGCTATTAAAAAGTTTTTTTTAAAACAGTAATAATCAGAGAATTGCAAATTTAAGTAACTGAAGTTCTACCTCATATTCATCAGATTGGCAAAGATGATTTGACTAAGAAAAATTAGATTTATTAGATGGAAGGAAAACAGTGCATGGTTGATGAAGCCTTGAACTGATCTAGCCATTCTGGAAAGTAACCTGGGATTATGCTCCAAAAGTCAGTATACTGTGTATACCCTTTGACTCAGCGAAACCATTCTAAGGACTAAGCACCAAGAGGATCAAAGAAAAAGGAAAATACACAGCTTTTGCTATAGAAAGGAAATGGAAGCTAAGGAAATGGCTATAAATTGAAGAATAGCTGAACCAAATTAAAGCATGTGAACATAACAGATTTACAAAGTATGAAATGATAAAATAGACAGTTTCAGAGAAACCTAGAAAGACTTGTATAAACTGATGCAGAGTGAACCTAGAGGTTTATACAAACATATAAACTGCCACCTATGGGGCAGGAAAGCCAGTCTAGTTGCACAGTAGGGCAACCTCAGGGAGAGACAGGAGGCAGCTTGTGCCAGATAGGTCACACTACTACTGCTACCTCAGCCATCACCTTGAATACCATCTGTCCTCATACCCTGATAGAGAGAGACCAGAACCCTGAAACCAAGAACCTTGTGAATAGCAGTGACCTCTAACCTTGAAGGTCCTGTTTCCATCATGAGGCCACGAGTCACTATGGAGAAGGGACTATATTTCTTGCCACCACCAATACCAACTTCTGACCAGATATTGCTAATGGGAAGGTAAGTCCAAAATCCCTAGGACTAGTGGTACCACCCTCCTCAACCCTTTACATCCCCTTATTCCTTATTCCTGCCCTTGCTTCCAGCCTATCCCCACACAGCAATTGCTCAGGAAAGTAACTCTGATGTTGATATGGACTAGCAACTTCTTCCTGCTGGTGATGCAGCTATAGTTATAGAAGACCCAGAAAAGAAAGTTCTTATCAGCAAAGTCCTTGGCACTGCCAAAAGATTCAATATCAGAGACCAATATGATCTTATCAATAAATTACATTAAATAACATTAAAGATGACACATTACTATCTGCTTTGCTGTTGAGCCCTAAGGACCATGGCACCTTTCTAACTATCTCCTCCATTAGAATGTGAGCTCCCTGAAAGCAGAAACTATGCACATAATAAATTTGTTAATTAAAAATGCATTTAAATTCTTTTTCACTCATTCATTCAAAAACAACATTGTAAAGAAAAACAACCGTGAATGACTTAGTGGACTCATAATTCAGAATTAGATACATATTTTTGTATGTTGGCATTTGTTTTGCTTGAACTGTGCGTATTTGTTACAGAAGTTTTGTTCAGCAAGGGTAGGGAGAAGGATCTTGGGACAGATGGCATTGCCAAAAAAGAGAGTCATTGAAATATTTTTCTCCAAAAAATGTACAGAAGAGAACAGGAAATAAGTCAGAGGGAAATACAGAAAATCAGGACAACTTTGAAAGTCACATGCTGAATTAATTATATTCTGAAAAGAAAAAGCAAGCTGTTAGAAATAGAGATTTGTGGTTTTATGTTAAATCTTCTCCTTATTCTATTCTACTTTATATAAAGAAATGCTCGTTTTACTTGTTCATTATGTGCAAAATAAAACTTTGACAATTTTTAAAAGAAAAGGCAACCTGCCACTTCCTAGCTATTTAAGGAGGTTTTGACAATTCATTTCACCTCTCTAAGTCACAGATCCTCATCTTTTAAATAGAGATAACAACATTCAACTACTCCAAAGGGTTACTATGAACAGATCACTTTTTAAGATAATGTAAATATAAGTTATTATTCTTACTTAACTTTTTCATTTCAAAATGATATTTAAAAACTCATTTGGATTCATGTCTGATATACTTCTTGGAAGAACAAATGAATATTTACCCCTAGCATCAATTCCCTAACAACATCAGGACTGATCTTTACCGTTCCATTTCCAAAGCAAGCTAAAACTCTTGCTTTTCTCTTTTCCATCAGGCTGCAGTGAAAGCAGTGGTGGCCTCCAGCCGACTGGGCAGTGCCAGCAGCCATAGTAACTATCTTCAGGACAGCTGTCAGTCCAACATTACTCCAATGTCCAATGAAGACAGTGAGGGGAAAGAAAATGCATCTCAAAAGGAAATAGAAAGTCAAGAACAAAGCTCAGCTACCTCCACTGAGGTAGTAATTGCAGTAATAGAAGCTCAAGATGAAGTAGAAATAAATGACAAAGAGGAACCCCAAACAGAACCTGAGCCTGCAGCAGAAGCCAAAGCAGAAGCCCTACCTGGAGAAGGAGAAACCCCGGGAGTCAGTGCGCAAGAAGGGGAAGGACTGCAAGAGTCCTAAATCACCCCTTCCCAATAGAGGGCTGAAGCTAGTCACTTTCATGCATGGGCTAATTTTTCCTTCAGCCAGGAAGATTTGTAAGTGTGACCCTCACTGTAGTGGTTCTAATTTTGAGGTGCAAAACAGTGTGTAATAATGCATCAGCTGGTGACCCTAACTGTAATGCATGTGACTGTTCATGAATAGTAGTGTCCTCTAATGGCATGTCATGGATTACATGTAATGTTATCTAATAGCATCAAGTGAAATTTGACAGTGAGCAAACACAGCATAATACTTAAACTTCATGTGTATTTGCAGAGGGCAAAACTTAATGTTTGAAATGAATCATATTTATATTTTCTGTTTGCAAAACTTAGCCTTCTAAGGGAGATATCTGATTTCTTTGGAATGGTAGTTATTTCTATTGGCATATTGATCATCTGCTATGTGTTATCATGAAACTCTTTAAATGGTTTTTTATTCATAGGTAAAAACTGTTTACAAGAAGATAGCAAATAGATGTACAGTATATGCAAAAACATTCCATAAATTCTGGTAAGAAATTGAAGCATTACTTTCAAGGGCCATGAAGCTATACGCCCCTCCAGCTTGTATTGCGAATGCCTTACTATACCTTTAACTGTTTATATACTCTATATTACTAATAACCAAAAAACTCTTTCATAGAATTCTGCCATTTCAGTATCCTGGCAAATTTTCAATACAACTGGGTTGGTCCCTATTCCCTTCCAAATCTTCACTTTCTCTTTCATAAGAAGCCTTTTGAAGAAAAACTCTTTAGAGGGTAATGAGAATTAAGCCTGTGTAGAGTAGCAAAAAATAATAGAATCCTTGTCATTTTTTAAAGATATAATTATACTTGTCCAGTAGTTTATAAAACTATGTAGCTTAAAAAAAAAGCACTGATTTTTATGGATAAAATCTGTAATTACCAAGTTTTAAATACTTAGAAAAATCTTCCAAGGCTAAATCTTATGAAAGTAATTTTTCAAAAATAAGGTCATTATCAACTTTGCTATAGCTTAGGAAATCCTTTTTTTTGCCATTAAAAGTCATTTTCCCTTGTTTGTTAAACAGATATAACATTTATGACTAAAGCATCTTCAACAAAGGTATTTTGTGTGTTTTTATGCTCCAAACTAGTAGTTCCTAAATTTCACAACAAAGTATTTTTAAAGTGTCTATGTTAGAGATATGTGACAATATACTATTTTACTTTTTTATTGAAACATTGATCTTAAATTAGAGAATTAAGATCCCAATATTCCTTTATTCTGATTGTTTTCATTTTAAAATAAACTCTTTTTTGGGTTTAGAAGTATATTTATCCTTTTAAACATAGATCCCAGTGATTCACAGAAATCAGGCTAATAAACATGTATAATTTTTAAGTTCAAATTAAATTTTCTATCAAGTCAAATGCTTATATATTTTATAAGTTTATTTATTATAATCTATTATCTTTCTGGTAAAACTGAAAAATCAATTGACTACAATCAGAGCTGTAATGAGACATTTGAGTTTTCAAATGATGGTTTAGAAATTGTTACCCCTGCTCACTGCATTACTACCACTCACTAGTGGCTTTGAGTTTTCTTGTTAATAATACATATTACTATGAAGTAAATCCCTACATGAAGAGCAGAATTTTATGGCAGTAAGAATATGTGTATTTGTAAAAAGTAATATTAAAAGTGCCCCTTACTTCATATTTCACCGCAAATGGTTACATACCTTTCCTATCTTTTTAGCTTTTGGTTCTAAGTACAACTTTAAGATCCTTGTTGAATGTTCAAATAAGTTTTCTGATGTACGTAATTTTCATTTCTTTTGGCCCCTTCCTCTACATTGGAAAATAAAAGCACTTCACTTTCTGAAGGTCACTAGAGTTTTATTGAAGGTATGTTTCCAAAGTTCTTCCTTTCTTTCTTCTTCCACTCTGAAGAAAAAGGTGCCTATTGGTAAACAAAGAAAGAGAGAGAGATGGCATATGTTATAGGTCAAAATAGTTCTATTTACTGCTCGTTGATTTAATTTGATTTGACAGAGGTAAGCTGGATGAGTTCTTTACACAAGTGTGGCAGCAGTGATTTATGAATGGTACTTTTTGTATCCCATCTTTTCTCCCTCATGACATAGAAGCTCACTATACCTTAATCATTGTTATTACATCATCCCAAGGCAGCCATGCCCAAATACATGTTGCCCCTTTATTCCCTTTCCATCTTAGCCTTAAACATACTGGAGTTTATTTTAATTGACCCATAGTAACCACCTTATGTGTAGTTTAACGTGAGGTTAAGCAAAAATTGCAAGACAAGAATTATACCTATTGGACTAATCCCTAGTGATTTATTTTTTTTTGAATCTACAAACACACACAAGTATGTATATATGTGTGTGTATGTGTATATATATAATATATATATAATTGTCATTAATAGTATACTCTACAGAAGCTAGTTTATTAATTATGGTTTTAATTTAGCCTCTTTTCCATTTACAATGTTTTCCCAAGACAGTATCTAAATAATTCTGAAATAGCCAATGTCAGTCAATTCAGAAAAAAATGTATAAATTCAGCCAAAATGGTTGGTGGTAACACTATATAAATGCAACCTTGTTTAGAAGGAATTTTTTTAACATATGAGAATGAATGTAACCACCAAAGTGTCTTTAAGCCCCTTAAATATATAATATTTTATAATTTCAAATCATAATTTACTAGATATCTGTATTTGTCTCAGAGTATCCCTTAGCCAAATAATATTTGGCTATTCAGTCAGTAATCTTAATTTAGGTAAAAATTGTGCAGCTTTATTTCTTATGGACAACTGCTACACATGCTGAATATTGAAAATTATTCAATTTGGCACAGTTCAAATATTTACTAGGTTATTCATTCTTGCTAAACCAGGAGTTAATCTGTTAATGTATTAAGTCAGCATTTGTAGATGTCAGTTAATGCTGCCATAGGACGTGGATTACAAAAAAAAAACTTGTGATGCAAAAGATTTATAATCAACCAATCAATAAAGAATTATTAAGTGCCTGCTATGTTCCTGGCACTGTGCTAAGCATTAGAGATTTTTAAAAAAAAAAGCGGCCAAAAAACAGTCCCTTTACTCAAGGAGCTGTCTTAAGAATGAGACACCTTGCAAATAAGTATAGATAAAGCAAGTTATTTGCAGGATAAACAGGAAATAATTAACAGAGGGGAAAGCACTAGAATTAAGAGGAGTTGGAGAAGGCTTCCAGGAAAAGATGGGATTTTATTTGGGACTTAAAATGAGAAATGGAGAGAAAGCATTCCAGGCATGGGAGACAGCCAGAGAAAATGCCCAGAGCTGAGAAATTGAATGGAATGTTCTTGGAAACTGGCCAAGAGGCCAGTATTATTGGATCAAAGAGTACCTGTTGGGGAGTAAGGTGTAAGAAGACTGGAAAGTTAGGAAGGGAATAGATTGTGGAGGGTTTTGAATGCCAAACAGAGCATTTTGTATTTGATCCTAGAAGCAATAGAGAGCCACTGGAATTTATTGAGTAGCAGGGTCTGACAGTATTAGACTTGTGCTTTAGGAAAATCGTTTTAGTGGATAAATGAAAGATGGATTAGAGTAGGGAGCGGGTGGAAGCAGGCAGACCCACCAACAAGTTGATGCAATGATCTAGGTGTGAATTGCTGAGGTTCTCCATTAGAGAGATAGCTATGTCAGAGGAGAGAAAAGGGCATATTGGAAAGATTTTGCAAAGGTAAAACGGACAGGCCTTGGCAATAGATTGGATATGGTGAGATGAGAGCCAGAGAGGAATCCAGGGTGACTAGACTGTGAGTCTGAGGAATGGGAAGATGGTGTTGCCCTTTACAGTAATAGGGAAGGTAGCTGAGCAGGGCCAGAGGTGGGGGTGGGGAGGCTCGGGGGAAAGATAATATTTTAGACATTGAATTTAAGATTTTACTGGATATCCAACTTGAGATATCTGAAAAGCAATTGGAGATCCTAGATTGGAGGTCAGCAGAGAGTTTGGAGCAGAATAAGTAGATTTGAGAATCATCAGCATAGAGGTGGTAATTAAATCTATGGGAGCTAATGAACTCACCAAGTGAAAGAAGAGAAGAGGGCCCAGGGCAGAACCTTGAGGGACACCTACAGTTAGAAGGCTAGAGGGTGTGATTTGGAAGAGTATCCAGCAAAGAAGAGAGTTTAAATAGATAAGAGGAGAACCAGGACAGAGTGGTATCCCCAAAACCTGGACAGAAGAGAGTTATCAAGGAGGAGATATTGGTCAAGAGTGTCAAAGGCTGCAGAGAGGTCAAGAATGAAGACTGAGAAAATACCATTGGATTTGGTGACTGAAAGATCATTAGTAAATCTAGAGAGAGCAGTTTTGGTGGAATAATAAGGTCAGAAGCCATATTCTAAGGGGTTAAGAAGAAAATTAGAAAGGTGGAGGCACCTATTGTAGTTGGTCTTTTTAGGGAATTTAGCTATAAAAGGTACCAGATATATAGGAGGATAGTTAGCAGAGATGGAAGCAAATGAGGATTTTTTTGGTTGGGGAAGATGTGAGCATGTAGGGAATGAGCCAATAGATAGGGAGAGATTGAAAATATTGTATGTTTGCGGATTAGATATTATGTGATGACATCAGTTTTTTTAAAGAAAGTATTCATGTATGTGGAGGCAGCTACATTGTTATATATAGCCATATCAAAGACAAATTTATTATATGTTTTTCTATCAGAAAAAAGTAAGTAATTTTTCTCACGTAGACTTGTGATAAGGTTCAATTCCCTCAAAGGTGACTAGAAAATTTAATTGGCTATCCAGAAGATAGCAGGTACTCACTCACACATCAACTAGCCCATTATTTCCTTTGTTGTTCCTTACCTATATAACATTGAGCAAGTCATTTAACCTCTCTGTGCCTCAGTTTTATCATACATAAAACAAGAGGATACTTGGTCTCTGATGTCCCTTCTATCCCTATGTAAATATATCATCCTATTTACAAAACATTAATCAGACCAAAGATCTCACCATTGTTAGGTAATTGTGCTACAGGGTAGTCTGATATATCAATATGCATGTATATGGATATATTTGTGCATGTGGGGATATGCGTATGTCTATATACACGTATTGTTTATATATGTATATGTATGCGTGTGTGTGTATATGTCAGTGAGAATGGTGTTGGGTGGGTGGTATGTCATTTCTCTGGTACCCACCCCTATGTAAGTCGGATTAATCCTTCTTTAGTTACTTCTTGGGAGCTGCTAGGTGGCACAATAGTTAAGAGTACTGGGCCTGGAGTCAGGAAGATTCATCTTCCTGAGTTCAAATCTGGCCTCAGACACTTACTATTTGTTTGGCCCTGGGGAAGTCATTTAACCCTGTTGCCTCAGTTTCCTCATCTGTAAAATGAACTGGAGAAGGCAATGGCAAACCACTCCAGTATCTTTGCCAAGCAAATCCCAAATAGGGTCTCAAAGAATCAGATATGACTGAAACAACCGCCTGCATAAAAACATGCAGATGACCCCTAAATCTGTGTTCTCATGTTTAATTTCTTTCCTGAATTCTAGATCATCAAACTCCTTCTGGACTTCTTCATATCCCATAACATCTCAAACCCAACTTGTCCAGCAGAAATGATTACCTTCTCCCTCTACATCTACTCCTCTTCCAAAATTCCCTTTTTGCAGAGGTTACTACCATCCTCCCATTCATTCAGGTTTTCAGTCTCATCCTTAACTCTTCCCTCTCCTTCATCCCCACACCCAGTCAAATCCTGTTGATTTTACCTCTCTAAAATCTCTCAAATCCATTCCCCTCTCTCCACCCAAATGATGCCCTGGTTTACTTCTCTTGCCTAGGCTACTGCTACAGTCTCTTCAATGATCTCTCATTCCATCATCCCAACTCATCTTCCACATAACTGCCAAAATAGTATTCCCAAGGGACAGATCTGACCATGCCATGCAGCTGCTCTAATGCTTAGGATAAAACAATCTTCTGTGTTTAAAATAGAAATTTAGCTTGGCACTTAAGACCCTCCCTCCACAGTATGACACCCACCTTCCTTTCTAATCTTAGATTACATTACTCCCTTTCATATACTCTACATTCCAACCAAACTGTACTATTAGATTTTACCCATACTTGACATACCATCTCCTGCTTCCATAAACTGTCCTTCATGCTTTGAATGTATTTCCTCCTCATCTCAACTTCTCATAATTCTTATCTTTCTTCAAAGTTCAGCCCGTGCCAAGCCCTCGGTGAAGCTTTCCCTCATCTTCTTCCTCCCCTCTTCGCCCAGTGCTATTTCCTTCTCAATTTACCTTGTATTAGATACATACATTATACATACATACATACACTGCCACCACCACTGCCACTACAAGCTCCAGAGATTATTTGTTTTTGTGTGTATAGCACAGTGCTTTGTCCACATTGAGTGACTTGGTGAATTGAGTTAAGTTAGGTATTCTGGTCCTTGTATGAGACATAATCTGGTCTCATATTTGAAGCCTTTCAAGGTTGACAGCAGTTGCCAAAACTTACAGTCTAATAGCATGGTCTTTAAAAACTCAGGGTAACTTCTGTGCTGTGGTAAAGTTTTAGGAAAAGGACTTTGTTAATTCATCATTCCCTAATTAAGAATTAATCTAAGCATCAGTCTTTTCATGGCTATCATTGTTTTTTCCTTGGGAAATTGTTTCCAATTCTTTCCTGCTTTCGTGTTCTGTTTACTTCTCATTTCGAAGTCAGAACAACCACCATCCTTTGAAGGATGCTATGTTTATGTAGCTGTAGCGTACTACTATACTCCCCTACATCTTATGATGGGAATGTGTAGCATCACAGACT